TCAACGGGAAGCAACTAGCTCAGATCACGGCCGAGGCTGTCAAGTCCGGGCAAGAGTACGTCCAGGCCGCGCTGAATGTTGTTCTCTGCGACAAAGACATCAAGGCTCTCAAGGAGCTAAGAGAGACCTACACCGGCCAAGAAGAGATTTACGCGCAAGCAGAAGCTAAATTCTTTGATCGATTCCTCACAATGCGAACGAGCCTCGTGATCGAATTGCGCAATCTGGTTTGGGCGTACAAGTATTGGGCCTTGGCAGACAGCCAAGTCGTCCTCGATTCCGAAAAGTCAACCGCCGACTTTCGTGCAGATCTCTTCTTCATTGATACCGAGGTTGAAACCGCCAGCTCGCGATATTCGACTGACTTCCAACGTACGTCGTCTCCGCATCGCTTCACTTCGCAATAGCTAAATGTTACTTTCAGCGTTCAAGTACACTGTGCACTCCAAGGACGTCAGTCTTCCCCAATTTCAGAGTTACGGTACAGGCAGCTAACAAACTCATTAGCTCCCAGCCAACTATGGCCAGATGATGATCGAAGGCCTTTGTGGTGACACTCATAGTGCCAGATTCACGCTTGTACCCCGCGATGCCCTCAGCAGGGCCCCAAATTTCGCCAGCGTCTTCACCGAGGGTTCTCATTTCCGGCTGGACGGTCTAGATGTCGTCTTGCACGGAGCGGTCCCTGCACCGGACGCTATGCAGGATGGCAAGGTCGCGGTGGATATGCAGATCTCGACGTCGGGCGTGTATGCAGATATCCAGGACGGTGACGTCTACCACTTCACAAGCCTCCCCAGGAGCGTACGGTTCTCGTATGACCTCACCGGATCGGGCGAACTAGGCGACACGCACATTTACGCTACTTGGCCCAGCGTAGACCATGCAAAGCCCACTCCATTTACCCAATGGACGATCACGCTGCGACACCCTGAACGCCTCGACTTAAGCGGATTGACCGGGGTCGATTTGATATGGACGGGTAACGCACGTTTCGACGATCCGCGTGGTATCGGAAGGAGAGGTGAACGGAATAAGAAACTAGCGAAAAAGGCGGTAGCTGGCGTGAACTAGACTGGTAAATCGCGAAGGACCTGAACATACACCCCCTTCGCGCGTAGCCATGTGATGTGTATAGAATGTGCTTAGTCAGCATACATGTGGCTTTGTCGAAAAGGGGCTATAAAAGGGGGGATGTCTCTGGAGTCGAACGGCAACGGCAACGGACACAACTGATGTTAGTAAAAAAACGTATTCTTTATGGAATCCATGCTGTTTCAACGAAATCGCTAGATTGCCCGTCGTTGATTGTGAGAATCCAAGGCCTCAAGGCCTCGGGAAGTGTAGGTCCGGCGTGCCTCTTGAAGACCCTAACGCAGATCCAAGTCATCTTTGGGAAGAATTCATCTCATCCAATTGAAGTCATGTTCTCTTTTGTAAGTAGACTTCTCTGAGAAATGATATCGTGAGTAGATGAATCAGTTATACTAGAATATTCAAATACATATCCATCGAACGTAAGAACTTAGTATAAGAGCCTATGCTGACTCATCGCCGACGTGCGGCGGCCCCTAAAGGTTCTGCCTACGAAGGTTCTGCCGCCTCTGACCGCCAATTTTTAACAACGCCGCGTTATCTTATCAGCTTTTTAGCGGTGGAGGGGTGGAAGGGTGGAAGGGTGCGGGCCGGTACCTGGCGTCAGCCCCTCCAAGGGTACCTGTTTCCGTTTGGGCAATACGATATTCACACATGATTGACTCATAGCAGCGGAAACACCAACCATGGCGCATCCTCCGGCAGAAGGCGGCGAGTTGACGTCTCGAATCCTCAATGCCCTCGACAAGACAGAAGGTCCTCTTCTATCGGCTGAACACTTCCCAGAATGCAGCTCGACCGATGTCAAAGCCGCCCTCGACCGATTGGCCTCGCGGTCCATGGTCGAGTATGACACGATCCAACGGGACGAGGTCCTGCTCGAGCCCGAAGGCGAACTGATTGCCACCCATGGGAGCCACGAGGCCCGTGTCTTTGAGGCTCTGCGGGCCGCCGTCGACGGACTTACAATTCAAGAGTTGGAAAGCACCATTGGTGACAAGAACATCTCCAAGCTTGGCCAAGGGAAAGCCTTCAAGGAGAAGTGGATCACCAAGACCAAAGGTAGACGACGAGACATTGAAGACGAGACATAGCGGCTCGCTCGCATCGCCATTACTAACACTCTTAACCCAGACGGCAAGCTCAAGGCCGTATCCGACTCCATCCACGATGCCGCCAAGGAGCAGTTGCTATCCATCAAGACGAGTCGAACCGTCGCCGATCCGAAAGTCCTCGCCGACCTGAAGAAGCGCAAGCTCGTCAGAGTCCAGAAAGTCATCAGCTTCAAGATAAACAAGGGACCCAAGTTTGCCCTCGAGCTGCCCGAGGAAGCCACTGACCTCACGGCTGAAATGCTAGCCAACTCATCCTGGAAGACGACTACCTTCAAACCTTACAATTTCCAGGCATTAGGCGCCGACCAACGCGCAGGTGCATTACATCCTCTGAACAAAGTCCGGGCTGAAATCAGGAATATCTTTTTCGAACTGGGCTTTGAAGAGATGCCTACGGATAGGTACGCGCGATCCGTACATCCCAGGGACCTTAGGAAACACTAGTGGATACTTATCACCGTCGTAGTTTTGTCGAGACAGGATTCTGGAACTTCGACGCCCTTTTCGTGCCGCAGCAACACCCCGCCCGCGACTTACAAGACACGGCAAGGCGCTTCGTTCCATGAGCCTAGGGTGGACTCACTAACACCTCATAGTTCTATATCTCTGACCCGGCAGTCGCCGGCATGCCATCTGACCACGCATACTGGGAGAATGTGAAAGCCGTACATCAAGTGAGTCGCAAGCCATGACCTCTTCCCGTAATGGTTATTGATAGATGTAGGACGGTAAATACGACTCACTTGGATACCGGTACCCGTGGTCCGGAGATGAGGCGCAACGGTTGGTCCTACGCACTCACACGACTTCCGTGAGCGCTAGCATGCTGCACAAACTATCATCCAGAAAGGGGCCGGATGGTCGCCCACCACCCGCGCGTTATTTTTCCATTGACCGCGTCTTTCGAAACGAAGCCATCGACAACACCCATCTCGCCGAGTTTCACCAAGTTGAGGGTATAATCGCTGACTATGACTTGACACTCGGCGGTCTTATGGAGGTTCGTCCTTCATTATTCTGCGATTGACGCAAAATCTAACTGCTTCAGTTCATGGATGTTTTCTTCGGCAAGATGGGTATCACAGGCCTCAAGTATAAACCAGCTTATAACCCTTGTATGTACTACACGCACCTCACGCTCGAATTGGACACTAACGATGTACATCTAGACACCGAACCAAGCATGGAAATCTTCTCATATCGTATGTTATTTTCAACTACTACTCATACACGCCTATCCTCTCCGACGCTCTCAAGATCTCCCTTTCCCTTTGAAAGGAATCTGCCACGCCAGTCATATCTAACCAGTGTAATGCGTATCTCGGAAAATACCGTCTTCGTCTGTTTTATGCAAGAAGCGCTAACAATTCAATTGCAGATCCCGGTCTGAAAAAGCTCGTAGAGATAGGAAACAGTGGCATTTTCAGGCCAGAAATGCTTGAGGCAATGGGTCTGCCGTAAGTACTCGCCCCACGAGGATTTAATTGATCGTCGCTATGTTTGGAGTGATGGAGGAAGTAACTGACCTCCTGTGACAGTAAGGATATGCGTGTATATGGTTGGGGACTATCGCTCGAACGTCCCACTATGATTCGATATGGCATTAACAACATTCGTGACTTGCTGGGTCACAGGGTAGACTTGAACTTTGTACAGAAAAATCCCGCCGTCCGACTGGGGAACCCTTAAAAGCGAAATGTCTTTAGATTACCCCGCCATCGTCTTGCAGAGGGGTGGTGTAGAGTCTAGCAAGTACGGAAAACTCAATAGTTATTCAAGTTGCATACACAGGCAATGCACTGTACTCGAAACCTCTGCCTCTCCACGTACCTGTCAATCACGTCGTCGTTTCTAGTGGTCAACATAGGAAACACTAGCTGTGCCTCTCGCATACACTATCGCCGTCGTCTTTCCCGCACCTGGACACCTAGATCACCTGCCTGATTACTGTGGCTCGAACGTAGCAAAAACCAAATCACAATGTAAATGTCACAGACCGCAGCAATTGAGCCTCAACCCCATGCCACTATAGTTCTGCTTCTCAAGCCTATACTTGAATCTTCATAAGTATGTATCTAAGAGATGTAGACCAGAGGCACCACACGGTGTTGTCGACTCAGGATATGCGCGTGAGAGTAGCACAGATAAGTATGAGTGAGGGTGGTGAATTTAGGATAAAGATGAATATGCATCTGAAATGAAGTCCCTATTAGGCCCGCGCGAATCTCATTCGATCTCCAGAAGTAAGAGATGATGTTCGCAGCCTGGTAGACACTTAAGAATCAGGTAGCTGTTGTAGTGGTTGAATATTGTGGACTAGAGGTATACTTGTTTAGACCTTGCCTCTATCATTTTTTACGCCTTATGGTGGTCAAAGGGAGAGATGGGGGTTTTAGTTCTTGGGATCGGATGAGATGCGGTTTTTGAGCCTCCATTTGAGGAACACGGAGTTGATGATATTCGGTAAATATCATTATGCTGTCCCTTCATCTGTGAGATTGTTATGTGTCCGTGAACCCTGCTGGCGGTTGATTGCTATCCTGGCTCTCTCTACCGTTGAGGGAGGTTTCGTAGTAGTTAATTACATTTCAGTATGCTAGGGCGGTATGATCGTGTGTTTAGTAGTGGTTAGTTTAGTAGATGTTCTGATGTTCTTAATGTACAGAGTCAAGATGTTGAACGTAAATGTCTTTAAGTGAGTCGGAATGGTAATTTCACGGGCGAGGTGTCGATTATATGTTAGAGCTTTGATAGTCATCCTGAATAGGAGTCATCAGTCAACATTTCCAGTCTCGATTGGTCTAGTGGTAAGGATACCTGCTTGTCATTCCGTCCGTTATTAGGTTCGCAGGTGGCCGGGGTTCGATTCCCCGATCGAGAGGCTTGTCTTTTTTATTTTCTTCTTCTTTTGCCTTTCGATCAAGAATCGCAGTATATATCTTTTAGTTTCTATATAGTTTTTTATTTACGGCGAAAACATAGATTATATTTTAAGCCTGTCTAAAGATAACACTATACATGTTGTATGAAAAGACTGCATGAATGCAACCACCTGCAGCAACCAGGCTGAGAAGAGTTTAATGTTCTTATCGCTATCTTTATTATATAGCTTCTTCATAGCGAGACTCTCAGGAATACTGTTTAAGGGATTCTGATAAGAAATACCTAAAAGCCATAGACACCCTTGAACATGCTCTCCATTTGCTCTTTGCCCTAGACGCAAGATACATAATTTCGACTGCTTGCGATATTCCTTTCTGAAACCAAGGCCATCGGAGCGTCCTCGGTTCGATATCGGTGTATTCTCCCCGACCCATTTTAAGATTCCACCCTATCAGTGTCGCAGGCTTGTGTCTCGCTTCCATTTACCTTCGTGTTGGAATTTACAGTGCCAGATTCTGTATCTCGGTTTGGGCTGCCGGGTTGACATTGGGTAATGAGATCTTGCTGTAATTCGTTTGAATTAGCTTTTACTGTTGCAAATTGGGGGGCTCGAAATGTATTTGGAAAGACTCACAGCATCGATGGACTTTCCGGACTTGATCTTGTACACATCATGTCGCATCTAAATTCAGTCAATTATGGTACGCAGTCCGAGGAGAGAAGAAGAGTACCTCAATCGTAAACTTTTCAGTGCCGAGTAATTTGCGAAGGCAGTGAATCAAATGCTCCAGAGTAACTAACTTGGTGTTTATCTCTATCGGTTCGCCCGGGCTCAATTTCCTCTCAGCAGCTTTGACTTCCATAATGCAGTGGTAAGATCATGTGTCGCTAGGTAATTGATTGATATTGCGAAAGAGTCGTGATATTCAATAAGAAATGCCTGCCACATGGTTGGGAACTGAAACGAGAATTTGAAGATTAGCAAGGAGGCCCCTATTGAAGTTATTTTAAAGACATCCAGGCCGTCGTACAACGAACCAATCACAGACAACACTTCCATGTCACAACGTAGTCTGTTATTTCGATGTCTTAGATCGTGAAGATTACGGGACTGACCAGTTGGACATACCTAGGTTTTTACACTTCCGCAGTGTAAGCCCTGAGCTGCACAAATTCTGTAGCGGCATCCAAGGGGGGTGTGGAGCCTCCACATTCGGTGTGGATAAGGCATATAGATAACTGCTCACTAAAGCAAGCAGGCTCCTAGGCATTTGATTGATCTTCAGCTCATATTGAAAATAAGAGGAATGTGAAGAACAACCGTCCCTAGATAAATGTGCCACATCGGGCCTACCTGTACTTCAAAACGTCCTCGTATGCGTATTTATTCAGATGATCTCCTGACGAAGTGATTCTACGTTTTTATACAACAATCATCTTGTATTTTCTGTGTCCACACTCTCTTAATCACCGTAAGCTTATAAGGGATATATTCAAAAGCAAGGTGTCCAAGAATCAGTCTTCATGCACAAATAATTTTCGCAGGTGTTAAAGCTGGGGATTCTCATAGCCATGAAACAGCTCTAGCTCTTTAAAGGAATAGCTTGGCGGTTCGTGGTCATCTGGACCTGCTCACAGGCTTAACGGTAGACGTCGGTCATTTTCTTCCAAGGCAGCAATGGCTGATAATATCTACGCTCCGTTTGACCGGGCGCAATTCTCCCATTTAGTGGCAATGCTGAACTCCATACTCATGTGAATGACTATTAGGCTTTCTTCGTAAAAGCACAACGGGTTTGCCTTGACCCTCGATTACCTATCTCATCATTAGCAGACTACGAAAATGACATATCGATATCTTATATAATCCTTAAAGCCTGGACTATAAGCCCCTCCAGATTTACTCCTTTTACCCAGGGGTTTATAGAGATGTTACTGTAGTATCGTCTTGCATCTATTCATTTATCCATTCTCCACACCAAATTATAGCAGTTTTATACTGCCTTTCTACGTTTTACCTGCATATATCGCATGCCATGGCATCAGAGCTCTCTCTGCACAATCACACAGCAAATAGCTCAAAGCACACGATAGTCTCCAAGATTAGGGACAAGATATATGACACGGGTTGCGATAATGACCAGAAAGTTAACTTTTTTCGAAACAATGAGTTGGATAAGCTGTTTACACGTGACACCGTCTCTGACGTAGTTGCTTCCATGGCTAACAGGCTGGTCTGCGAATTAGGTTCTGAGTTGCCTGTTATTGTTGACCAAATCTTGCCAAGAGACCAGACAGACCAAAACTATTCTAGGAAGCGGATACTGGCCATACTCATTTTGGGGAATATGCCTGATCTAATCATCGATTTCATAAAGGCCGAAGTTTGGGACAGACATCTTCCTCTTCAATTCCGTTATCAGTCAGGCACGATACAGCTGAAGTATAATGACGACGATGGAAGTCTGGTTTCTTGCCCATTTCCATTATTCGGCAATGACTTCGGCAAGTCACACATATTTGACTCATTTCAATGGGACTTTATAGCCCCTATATTCACGTTCACAGACGGGACGGTACATCACTATTCGATACAGCATAGGGTCCCTCTTCCGTTCACGGAGCAAATACCTGTGCCTATTGCTGGGGGCAACAGCCAAGTAAGCCAAGTAGTGATTCACCATGGCCATCATGACTTGGTATGTTCACTACCGCCATATTTTGTGAATGATGCTAAATTATTTTTCTGGAGACTGGTGAACACCGTTTCGCCGTCAAAAGACTATTATGCTCAACAGATGAAGACTTCAACAAAGAAGTGAAGGCGTTAAAACTAGTCCGAAACCTCGGCCACTCGCATCTAGTGGAGTTACTCGGAACATTCGAATATCGCGACTCGTACTACTTAATCTTCCACTGGGCCGTTGACGACTTGGCAATGTTCTGGAAGAAGAATGCGTCATCAACCCTGGACCCAAACATGAGCCTTTGGGCCCTTCAACAATGTCTTGGGATAGCCGAGGGGCTCCAGCTAATTCATGGCGAACAGCGTTCATCATCCGAGAGCAATACTCTCAGAGGTAGGCACGGTGATATCAAACCTACGAATATTCTGCGCTATGTGCCGATAGCTGGTGCCGAGGATCTTAGATGGGGGCTGCTCAAAATCTCAGACTTTGGTTTGACACGGTTTCATCAGAACCATTCCTATCGGAGAGAATATACCAACGGCCCGATGGCGACAAGAACCTACCGTGCTCCAGAGGGCGACTTGAGAGGGAAGATATCTTACTTATGGGATCTTTGGTCTCTGGGTTGCCTATATCTTGAGTTCCTCACCTGGCTACTGCAAGGCTGGGACGGGGTGGCCGCATTTTCTGAGGAACGCAAACTTGAGGACCAATCTCCCTATGACTTTTTAGAAGAAGATAAGTTCTTTAATATGGACTATAGGAAAGCTTTTGGAGCTTGTCGAAAGGATTCTGTCAGAAAAGTAAGTTTTTCATGTTGATGCAATGGAAAGTGGCTTACAGAGGAATCAGCATATCGATATGTTACATGGCCATCCGGATTGTACAGCCTTCATGCACGATTTCCTGGATCTAATCTCAGATGACATGATCCGAATCAGGGAGGAGGACCGGGCTAAATGCCATCAAGTGGTCCTGAAACTAGAAGCCATGAAGAAGAAATGTGAGGGCAATGTGGACTATTACACTAAGCGAATGCAGCGTTTCGCCAAGAGCGCAACATACGAATCGGACAAGCCTCGCAAACTCGCTCCTACGGAATCCAGTGGGGCCAATGCCAATGCGTCGGGTGATGGCATTAGGTCGGGTTCCGAGCCGAGACCGAGTAGTGAGTCAGGGGCTGAGCACTCAATACTGAAAAGTAAGAATCGACCCCGAGAAAGAATCTATCTTCGTAGATTCCGGTATCTTTTCAATTCTTGTTTCCATACCAACACTGAATATCTTGATGGTCATAGCGGCAGGCGATAGCTTCGCGTTGGAGACTACCTTCATGTAATCAGTTCAGCTCATCAATTGGAGCCAACATATCTAGCCAACATATCTAGCCTTGCCGCGAGTGTATTGTGATTTGAAATGTACCGTGAGAGTAAGCTTGCAACATCGTACAACATATTTTGTGGTGCGACAATGCTGTTACTCGTGCTGAACTGCACTGGTCTTTTGAAGTCAGATCATACGTGTCTCGGCCGCCCGGTGAGGTCGTCTCAGCGAGGTTATTTATATCTTGCCAATATGGTACCTTTGGGTCTTGGGGCAAAGGTCGAAATGCCAAAATCGAAGTAGAGCTGGCTGTATATACCTAGGTTCCTAGGTACTCAAGTATGTAGCATAGTTGGGGCTGATAGGGACACTCAGCCACCCAATGGCTCAACAGCTTACATGGAAAGTAAAAAGGGGCGACTGGTGCCAAGGGCAAAAAAAAACCCAGATACAACACGTGGGCAAATTCCTGTTTGGTTCAATTTCAATTTCAGCTGCCTGTATAACTAAATAAATCTTTTACCCGAATAGCTCGAAAATTGTAGGTTAGGCGTAGCTCCCGAGTTCTCAGCAGGCGATGAATCCGGGTCGGTCCTCACTTACATATAGGCCTAATTAGTCCTAGGGGAAATCGTAAGGGCAACCTCTGAATTGCTAGGACACTTGTAGGCACAGAATATTATTGTCGTATTGATAATATCTCCAAGCTATATATCCGGGCGTTGTGATACACCATGCATGTGATGAACTGACGTGAGATTATCGTAGCATTTCATAGGGCACTATACAAGACCCCTATCTGCCAGAGCCCAGGGCGGCTTAGTCAGTAGTGCACTCTCTGAAAAAGAGAGCTTGGTAGATAAGCAAGAGCCATTCCGGGCTCCATTGGTAACTATAAGTGTGCGCTTTGAACAGTATCAAGGTGGGACTATCGCGACGTGTGGTTGTTGACGTGTTCGCAGATGGATGCATGATACTGTGGTGT